TCACCCTTGCATATCGTGCATCGAGCATAGTGCTTAGCATCCATGTTAAATAAATGTTCATCTAAGTAATCAATATGGAAATGAGATGATAATCAAACAGTATCACATCCATGTGCTGAAACAAGCTCTAATTACATGTATTTCCAAATATAAGGACATTCTTGAGGCATTTTGCTATAAAAATCTCATAGAAAAAAATAATAGTGAGACACAGTGCTAGTATTTCTAGACTGAAACAGAATATGCCAAATCTCATAGAAACTTTGCTATAAAGTGATTTTTCAGACCAGGCTTGTATTCTACAAAGATGTAGAGGTTATATAACTAGAAGACTAACTTCTCTATGTACTCCCATTTTTGAAGACTTATCTGAGCATCTCTAAGGTTTCTCCCCCCCTACTCCCTTTGCTTTATCCTTCACAATCCATCATTGAGAATGTTAAAGGCTTTTAAAGAAATCAATATTCTGCCATTGGGCTCTCACATGGAATGCAGCACCAGTCCGGCAAGTGAGTCATTATAGCACTGGTTCTGAAAACAGCTGCAGGCCTTTCCTAGAGATATCAGTTGGTATGCAAAAGGGCAGAATGTGGCCTTAGGATGAAACTGAATGCAAAGTCAAAATTAATTTAAGTTATATTTTATTTAGAAATCAATAAATTAATAATAAAGGATATTTGCATAAGCAAGTTTTTAAGAAGAATGTCCTTTGATTGAATTAGTATTTCCCTTCATAAGATATTTAAAATATTTTATAATTAGAGTATGTTAAAGTAAAAAAATTCATTTGTGTGAAAATCATTCATACCTTAGGCAGGTAATATTAATCCAAATTAGTGAGTGGGTAAGCAAGTAATGCTATAATACTTTATAAAGGCTAAAACCTGTCTATGACAAGTTTAGGCTTGATGGAATTTTATTGTAGTAAAGTTATATGAAAAATATAGGATTTATTGGTCTAATAGTTTCTTGTAGGGAGCAGCTATACAGTTAAGCTTCTGACCTGTTGTCAAAGCCACAAGCAAGTCCCAGCTTAGAGGACACAGCCCTCTTAGCATAATTAAGCTTGACCTTATGACACTCCCTAGATCATATCAGGGTAGCTAATGGGCTGTGGAAGTCGCAACAAGTGCTAGGGAGAAGAGCCAGCCAGGGTGAGGGGCTGCTAGGGTTTGCAGGCCAGCCACGTCCCTGATTGGGGTGGGGGTTCCCATTGGAGGGCATGGCCAGCCAAGGTGAGGGGCCATGCCTCCAATCGGGGTGAGGGTCCTTACTGGGGAGCAGGGCAGGGCTGGCCTGAGCTAGCGGCCACTGGAGGTTTGCAGGCTGGCCATGCCCCTGATCAGGGTGGAGATCCCCGCAGGGTGGTTGGGCCAGCCTGGGTGTGTGGCCGCAGTCATTCTGGACATTCCACCATTTCAGTCATTGGGCTTTTAATATATAAGATTATATCCTACATCTATATAAATAAAAATGTAAATGTTCTTTTCTTCAAAATCTTAAACTCTGAAAGTTTCTCACCGATTGCTTTGAAATTTTGACACAATGTTGCATTCAAATGCGCGTGTGTTTTTATATACCTTATACCTACTATTATATAGATGATATAGATGTCACACATGTGACAGGAAAAAACATGCTTTTTTTTGAAAAACAACGCCATCTGTTGGACATAAAGCAACACACACTCTACTAAATATTTAATGATTCCATTTCAATGTTTTCAATTTATGATCCATTTATAATTTCCAAATTCCCAATTTTATGATTTCATTTCAATGTTGATAATGATTGAAGATTTGTGCTTAGAAATCACGAACAAAGTTCTCAATTGAGAATGCCATCACCTAATTGATCTCCTGCTGCTTTGTTCAATGTAGAATTGCATCGTGAACAAAATTACAAAATGGGTGATCTTTTGTCGTATGTGCAATCAAATATTCCCAAGCTATTGCTTGAGCAAAAAGGCATTTACAATCAAATAATGCAAATTGTCAATAAAGGGGTTGGAGAAATCTTCTTAGATACACAAGGAGGAACTGGTAAAACATTCCAAATTAAATTTATTCTGGTAGCAATTCAATCCCAAAATGACATAACCTTAGCTCTTGCATTGTCCGGAATAGCTAGGACATTGTACCAGGTAGAAGAACTGCTCATTCCGCTTTGAAATAGCCATTGAACATGCAGTTCATTGAAACTCCCACGTGCAACATTTCCAAAGCATGCTATGTGGCAAAAGTACTGCAGAAATGCAAATTTATTATTTGGGATGAATGCACAATGGCACACCAAAAAAATTCGAAGCTCTTGATCAATCATTGCAAAATTTGTGTGGAAACATGAGACCATTTGGGAAGCAAAATTAATATTGCTTGCAGGAAATTTCAGGCAAACATTTTCTGTAATTCCTTGATTGACACCAGTGGACAAAATAAATGCTTGCCTGAAATACTTTACTTTGTGGTGACATGTAAAGATGTTAAAGTTAACTACAATTATGCGTGTCCATCTGCAAAATGATCGATCAGCTCAGATATTTTCACATCAATTGCTGGAAATTAGGAATGGAAAGGTGTTGGTTGATCTGACCTCAGGATGTATTTCATTGCCTCATAACTTCTGCAATTTAGAGACGTCAAAAGAATTGGTTGAAAAAGTATTTCCCAATATTCAAGCCAATTATAAGAATAATGATTGGCTGAGTGAACGAGCAATTCTTGCGGCCAAGAACAAAGATGTCTATGAACTTAACCATATCATTCAGTCTAACATTCAAAGTGAGACAGTCACATACAAGTCTGTTGACACTGTTGTGGAAGTAGATGAAGTGGTTACTTATCCAACAGAATTTTTTAATTCATTCGATCTGCAAGGGCTGCCACTGCACATATTGCAATTGAAAATCAGTGCTACAATGATCATGTATATTTATTGCCACATATAAAGACTTGTACTTCATTAAGAAGTAATGGGGGGATTCAAAATGGTAGATGTTTCCTGTACCTTGTCACAGCACAGTTAGAAGAAACAACTAAATCAAATAACATCTATCCAGAATTAGTAAATTGGACACAGCTAGTGAGACAATCCACAGCTGGAAAGGGCTGACGACACCTGGAGAATGGTAGGATTGGGGATCTGGGCTAGAGAGAGACACACGACCACAGGGACAAGAAGGTCAGAGGAACCTGTGCTGCACCAAGTCTGTGTCCCTTGGGAACACACATAACACCCAACTGCAAAAAGGAGGTTCACAGGACTGCTGGTGGCCTAGGAATCTAGATATAAGTCCAGAACAATGAGAGGCTGTATCCAGAAAACAGTCTGAAGAGCTGCCCGAGCAGCTAGCTATCTAATTTTGGCAGATTAAAGGCAGAAGCCTATTTCCTTAATAGTGACTAGACTCTGATTCACTGAAGAGTAATCTAGTAACAGTGAGAGAAACAAGTTTCAAGCCTAAAGGGTGGCCAGAGGACTTTGGAGCTCATAGGATAATGCAGTGTCAATAGGGATATCCTTTTATTCTGAGTATTGATAATTCAGATGATAAGGAACATAAGGCCATTAGAATTGGTTTCTAAATGGTAACAGTGGTTCCCTGACACCTGAGTAGCATTTTTAAAATAAATTTTTATTGTTCAGATTATTACAATTGTTCCTCTTTTTTCCCCCATAGCTCCCCTCCACCCAGTTCCACCCCACTCTCTGCCCTTACCCCCATCCCCATGGGCCTCATCCATAAGTGTACAATTTTTGTCCAGTTTCTTCCCACACTCCCTACCCCCCTTTCTCATCGAGAATTGTCAGTCCACACCTTTCTATGCCCCTGATTCTATTATATTCACCAGTTTATTCTGTTCATCAGATTTTTATTCACTTAATTTTTAGATTCATTTGTTAATAGATATGTATTTGTTGTTCATAATTTTTACCTTTACCTTTTTCTTCTTCCTTTTCTTTTTTTTATAGTGAAAACACTATATTATGACATGATTTTCCAAATCAAATATTAAAATTAATATTCCATTTTGAACATCTTAAATTCTACATGCATACTTCTGAATTTCTAAAACTACACATTAAACAGCTGAATACATTCTACTCGCACTTCAGATCTTGAAACACCAACAATCTATATTATTATAGCTATTACTACGGGACAAATTTGGATAGAGGTCTAAGGTAATTTTTACGCTCACTTGAAGAGCACCAATCATTAATCATTTTTTGCATTTTATTCACAAAAACTGATACAATTATTTATGTTAAAGCAAATCTTTTTCTTTAAAAGTTAATGTGTATTAAAGTCATTTAACTGAGAGGGTAGGCTTTATTCCAGTCTGTTTGTTAAACAGACTGTTTTCACAATGTCTACATCTACTTCCCAGTGATCTGTCCCATCACTGCTCCCAGATAGTTTTTTGAGTTACCAGAATTATTTTTTCAAAGAAAGGAATCATCAAATTCCAGTCCATACATCTTATAAATATTTTACACCTAAACACACTCAGCTTTACAGTTCATGCAATAGGCAGTGTCTAGAAAAAACTGTTACTAAATCCCCAAACATGTAAATGTCTATTTAAACACAGTGTCTTCTAAAATTTGTTTTGTAAGAAAAGTAATCTGTAAACATCTTTACCTTTAGCTCATGCTTAGTCATTTGCTGTGGTCATTGTGGAAGGAATGGGTATGACTTTACAACCATTTGTGAAGTGGCCCACCTTTGCAAAAATATTACATCCCATGGGTAAAGAACAAGTCTTAGAATTACCATGTGGTACAAATTTATGAAATCAATTTCTGTATTTAAAAACATAAAACAAAGACTACTAAACAGTCCAAAACTGTTGTAGCTGAATATTCTAAATACGAGCCAACTGTACTACACTAAAAATGTCCAAAAAAATGGCCTCTGAAATAAATATTTCCATTCTTTAAAAAAATACATAATAAATGTACATCACATGGTCAGTGTACATATAAAAGCCATCATTTTAAGCCATCCTGGATGACGTATCTGAAGTAAAATGACCTAGGTTTTGCTTCTGTTGTCGTCCTCTATTGTTTTTAGAGCATTTTCTTGTTATGCACATGACAATAGCTACTATAATGGCGATCTGCACAGCTCCGATAATGGCTGCGATGAGAACGTGAGTGAGCTTTTGCCTGCTTAGCACTACGTAGAGCATACTAAAGTCCGTCTTTTCACAGTGCTGTCCAGTGTAACCAGATTCGCATCTACAAGAAGCCTTCTGAGTAGCATAGATGAATTCACACTTTCCATGGATGCAGTAACCATTGAGGTTTTCAGGGCAAGGCATGTGGTTTCCAATATAAACATCCTCTCTTTGATCACTAGCATCTTTCACATCTGGTCGATATGGTAGTCCATCGTCTTTCTTTCCCAACAAACTAGTGTCATCTTTGTCTGTGCAATGACCAAGATGCCTTATGTCAATTTGCTCTTGCTTTATACAAGATGCTTCTCGAACAAAACAAGGATTGTTATAGGAACTCCCATCAGAAGCACACACGGGGTTAAAACTGTATCCACTGCAGTCTATATTACATACACACCCAACGTTTTCTGCATCTTCATCACACTCAGCCTTATATTTGCAAGGTCCACACTTGGTGTGTTTCCTGTGAGCTTCGGCCCCAGACCCTTCCTCTTCCCCTTCTCCAGATCCAGAGCCATTATCAGAGTAGCATGGTCCTCTTGCTACTACTGTGATCTCTTTCTGGTGCTTACAAGCAGCTCTTCTGAGAAAGCATTCATTTTGATACATGTCCCCATTTGATGCACAGACGGGAATGTAATTTGTATGGCACTGAAATTGACACGCACACTTCAAACCATCTCCATCTTTTTTACAGACGCCTCTATATTTACATGATGATTCATCACAAACTCTACATCAGACTCCCTCACATTCAGTTCTGAGCAGTTGATGCTCTTGCCGTTGCCGCCAGGACACTCCCTGCCGCCGCTGCCGCCGCCCCACCCCCCCCCCTTGGGCTGGTTGGAGGCGCGGCTGCCAGGCAGCGAGAAGGCGAAGAGCAGCAGCACCGACGTGTAGCAGCAGCAGAAGGCAAGTGGGGCGCTGCGGGCAGCCGGAGCTGGCACCCCTGGAAGGCGAGAGGGAAGCGCAGGGAGCCGCAGGCCCGGGGCATCCAGCCGCTGCCTCGTCTCCACCTGGGCGCCTCCTAGCAGCCGCGCCCGGGAGCCTGCAGGCGGCCCCTCGGCATCCCGGTCCCGCTGCAGCCACCTGGACAGCTGGAGGCTGGGGCTCACGCGAGGATCTTGGGTGTGCGATCCGGGGTGCGAGCCCTCAGAGGGGGAGCTTCTTCCTTTTCTTAAAGGATACCTTTCAGCATTTTTATATATTACTGATTTGGTGTTGATGAACTCCTTTAGCTTTTTCTTGTCTGTGAAGCTCTTTCTCTGACCTTCAATTCTGAATGATAGCTTTGCTGGGTAGAGTAATCTTGGTTGTACGTTCTTGCTATTTATCACTTTGAATATTTATTGCCATTCCCTTCTGGCCTGCATAGTTTCTGTTGAGAAATCAGCTGACAATGGGATGGGTGTTCCCATGTAGGTAACTGTTTTTCTCTTGCTGCTTTTAAGATTCTTACTTTGTCTTTTAATCTTGGCATTTTGATTATGATGTGTCTTGGTGTGATCCTCTTTGGATTCCTTTTCTTTTTCTTTTTCTTTTTTTTCCTTCCTTCCTTTCTTTCTTTCTTTTTTTTTTTTTTTTTTTTTTTTTTTTGTAGTTCTCTGCATTTCCTGGACTTGTAAGTCTATTTCTTTTAACAGGTGGAGAACGTTTTCAGACATTATTTCTTCAAATAGATTTTCAATATCTTGCTCTCTCTCTTCTTCTGGCATCCCATAATTCAGATGTTAGTACGCTTGAAGTTGTCCCAGAGGCTCCTTACACTATCTCCATATTTTTTAATTCTTTTTGCTTTTCTGGTTGGATATTTTTCTGCTTCTTTGTATTTCAAAACTTTGACTTGATTCTTGCAATCCTCTAGTCTTCTATTGGATTTTTATATATTATTTTTTTATTTTAGTCAGTTGGTCCTTTTTCATATCCTCGAGGGTCTTGCTAAATTTATTGGCCTTTTCTAGGAAATTCTTAAAAAACCTTATAACCATGGTTTTGAACTCTATATCCAGTCATTTGCTTTCCTCCAATTCTTTCATTTGTGACCTTTTTCTTTGTCTCTACATTGTGGTTGCTTCCCTGAGTTAGTAGAGTAGTTTTGTGTGGTAGGTGTGCTATAAGGCCCAGTGGCTCAGCCCCCCCAATTACCTGAGGTAGACACTCTTGGTGCACCTGTTTGTGGGCTGTGTGCACTGTCTTGTTGTTTTTAAGTCTTGATTGTTGTTGGTATCACTGGGAGAGATTGACCTCCAGGCCAATTGGCTGTGAGGATCAGCTGTGTCTATGTTGGGAGAACTTCTGTGCTGGAGGCATCCTTATGAGACAAGACGTGCTTCAGTGGGGCTTTGGTGCTCACTGAGTCTGCCCTCTGAGTGTGTCCCTTATGGATCTGAGGGTTGTAATCTGGATGGTCTCACTCTGACCTCTGGGTGCACTGGCTCTTGGATCTTCAAGGAGGAGCTAATTTAATTTCTGCCTGAGGCCACCCAGCAGGAGCTATGGAGAAATCTGCAGATTCCTCTTGATTGTTTGGGTTTTAGAGGTGTCCAGATGAGGCCCAGCTGTGAAGCAGTGCAAGATACTGCCGGGTCTTGGGCCTTCTATTGGATGTTTTGGGTTTCACTGACTCAGATGCAGTTTGTTAAGTAAGTTTAGAATTCAAAGGACTAGGCCATTGGTAAAAGCCTCTGTGCTCACCTTGGATGGGGTGGAGTCTAAGGGCAGAGCAGACAGAAATGGATTAACATAAGCCCTTTCCTAAGAGGCCCCTGGGTCTCAGTGTCCCACAATAATTGCTGCAAGCACCTCTGAGAGAAAGTCACCCTCATATTTCACTCTCTGCTCGATAATTCATTTTCTCCCTATATGGGTCTCAGTCCCTAGAGTCTCACCTGGAACTGGAGTTCAGAGCAGTTTGAAGCTTTTGTCTCCCTCCCAATTGAGAAAACCAGCTGCATATTCATTTTCCATCCCTCTCTGAGCATGTGCCTTCCTCTCCACATGCCCCTTCATACCTCTATCTTCCACAGTACCTGTGAGTCTCAGTGTGCTTTTCTCTTTCATTGTAGTTGTAGAATTTCCACTCAGCCAGCATTTCTGTGGTTCTAGATGTTGTCTATTTTGACTTTAGTTGTAGTTTTGAAATTGTTGTGCAAGTCAGCAGTTTAGGTGTTTACCTATGCCGCCATCTTGGTTTCTCCTGAGTAGCATTTTTAGAAAAAATATGTTATAATGCATTTTTTTTATTGTTTAGCTTTGGTATTTGGAAATGCTGGCTCATACTTGATCTACTTTGTTTAGAAATAAACATAAGGCTGAAACTGGTTTGGCTCAGCGGATTGAGTGTCAGCCTGCAGACTGAAGGGTCCCAGGTTTGATTCTGGTCAGGGGCATATGGCTTGGTTGAGGGCACATCCCCAGTGGGGGGTGTGCATGAAGCAGCTGATTGATGTTCTCTCTCATCGATGTTTCTAGCTCTCTGTCCCTCTCCCTTCCTCTCTGTAAAAAATCAATAAAATATATTTTAAGAAACAAACAAACAGCAAAAAAAGAAAGAAATGTAAGGTTTTAGACAGTTATATCCCCTTCTTATAGTACTCAGACACTTATTAAATCCCTACTTACCAGTCAACAAATATTTAATGAAAATCTTACTATGTGCCAGATAGTGATACTTAAAGTTTGTTTCTCCTGTGTCACATTAAACTCTAGGCTTTGGTCCTTGTTTGCCCTAAAATTAGGAAGGCAGCCTCTTTTCTTATAATACTATTCATTTTTTTGTCCCAATTACTCCTGACTTTTTGTACAGGTGGGTATCTCTTAGATTTACAATCTTACATGAAGACGGAAAAAATGATGATGGCATACACAAACGTGTCCCAGCTTTGTCCTGAAACAGAAAGAAAAGACAGCTAAGGGTCACATGAGGAGTGTTTGTTGGTGAGTTAAAGGATAGCTATACTCCAGGAGAAGGTGGGGGACTGCTGAACTGGGTTCCCCTAACCAGGAAATCCCCACTGCTGCTGGGTTCCCTCCCAGAGCCACCAGCTTGGACGAGGAGACTGCGCTATCTTGGAGGGGAAAGTGGATGTTATTGGAAGCCTGAAAATCTACAACTGTGGCTGCAAACCTCAGAACACTGGTCCCCTATTGGCACAAACAGGTGGATTCAGAGGAGCTCTACATTCTATGATGGAAAGGTCAGATTTTGCCTGGGATAAGGTGAGGTCTCTGGTCCCGGTGGGAGAGAGAACCACATGAGGGAACTGGAGGACTGGGGGAAGTCTGCACCCAAAAAAATCCATGGCTGTTAGGGCTGGTATGACCTATGAATGTGGAAGGGGGTTCTCAGTGCTGTTAACAGAAGGACTCTCTAAAGAGCAACCCATTTTGATCTGATGCAAAAGGATGCCCTAAAAATTTTTAAAGGGTGCTGGCTGCTTAGACCCAAACGAAAAAGGGGAACTATGCACTCATGTGCAGCCCCATTTTCCTCACACTTAGGCTTTTTCCTCTTCAAATCCTTGCTTCTGATTACTAAGCCCAATCCATAGGATCACTCAGTTGGGTACATTCTGGGAGATTGCAGGGAAATTTTGTTTTTCTGGAACCTGGAGTTTGGAGGAGGAGTGACCGCCAGAGAGCTAGCCCTGGGGAAGCCCATTCCCACAAAGTGATATTGAGTATGACAGGGAAAGTAGGATCTAAGTACAAACTAGAGAAGACCTATAGACCTGAAAGTCAATCCAGAAACACTGCCACCCAGGGGTTGAATCACAAATTGACTCTTGTGTAATCACAAATAAAGGAATAAAAGAAATTAAGACACTACCTGTCTAAAAACAGGACTGGCTTACAACATTGAGAAGAGGAATTCAGGGAACTGCAATACTGTCCTGACTGGGGGAAAAAAACTATGCCAAACAGAACAATAGAGGAAGTGAATGACCTTCACTACTGAACTTTTTAAAATTTTTTTCATCTTTTACTTAAGAAACTAATTTTTTCTTTTTCCCTCGCTTGATTTTACCTTTTTAATTGTTGCTTTTTTTTTTTCAATCAGTGTTATTACTACCACTATTTTACCTTTTTTTAAAAGTGTCATATTATTTTCTCTTTATTTTACTTTGGGATTAGTGTTTTACATTCTATTTTCATCTTTCCTTTAGCATCATTTTACTCTATCTCAACTCTACCTTTATGCCATCACTCTCTTCCTAACTTTTCCCCTTTTGGTGTCCTGTTTCTCTTAACCTTTTCCTGCTTTATATTTTCCCTATTCTTTCTTTTTACACCCTGTTAAAATTTCACTCTAATTATATATCTAATTGTCAATCCTCTGCTCCAAGTCCATACACACCTCTCTCTTCTCTGTCTTAACTATCCAAAAAATTGTTTTTATCTCTGTCTTTTTATTACTGTTTGCTTGAATGTTGATTATATTGATTTTTATGCTTATTTGTGAGATTGTTTTGCTCATTATTTTTGTTTGTTTATTTTGTTTTTTGTTTGTATTTTTGCTTCTGTTTTCCTTCCCCTTGTTTGATATTAGTTGTTGTTTATAGTTTGTATTAATTTCCAGGTACTTGTTGGCATTTACTGGTATTGGTGGC